ACGCGCCCCAAATGCAACCAACCCCGGACATGGACCCCCCCCCCCACAACAACAAATCTGGACTCGTTGCTACTCCTCGAACAAATGTTCCACTCAGCCCATGAATCCAGCTGTCGTGGTTTGGGACTTTCTTCGCATCGTGGGATACCCATGACCAAAAGTGCTCCATCGTGGCCCTTGGGTGATGATGTCAGGAGTCTCGTCTGGTTGAAACATCGTGGCCAACAAGCTGTTTCCTCGCACAGCACCATCAAGTCTGGAAGTCTGGCCCGTTCACATGAACAAGATGGGCTCATGAAAATCATCCCGCTGAAAATATGGTGCTCGCAGGAGTTCTGCAGCGATGCTGCGTCCCTTGCTGTACAGTCACCTGCCGCTTTGGCGTTAAATGTCGCACCCACGTCAGCTTAGCTGATAAGCGGCCGCCAGGACAGTGCTTGCCCCCAGAGTTGCAGCCACGCCGTTGCTTGGGGAGTCTTTGTTGGCCTCCTGGTTGCCGCCCCTGGGTCAGCACTTAAGGAAACAGGAGGAAGAAGATGAGTCGGGTTGGGTGTGTGAGGGTGTCAGGAGTGCCAGCTTACATTGCATACATAAATCAGGAACATAAACACTGATGTGTTTGTTTAGTTGTTTACTTTATTATAACCTGTGTAATCCTATGTCCTATGTATGTGTATATGTATACACACATACGCAGATCTTGTACAAATACAACAAGCTCATCAACAACAAAGACTTGTTGTATGGACAGTAAGATATTTTATATGTACATGTGCACACAATATAGCCTGTCATTGCTTCACAAAAGCAGCGGCAGTACTAGTAAGCATAATCTCAACGATGCTGCTGCGGCTGAGACTGCTGCTCGTCCGGCAACATCGCCGACTACGACGACCAGTACTCCTGCCACCGCCAGAACCACCATGACCACCGACGACGATCACTACTACGACTACGACTACGGCGACTACTACGAGTACTTTTCAATAGCGAAAGAGTACATCGAATCCTTTTGCTTGGACAAAGTGTAGTCCCAGGCTCCCTGAGTCTGAAGACCAACCCCAGGCCGCTTGAGCGGAGTTTGCGGTGCCCAATAGCACCACAGGCAGAAGCTGCACAAAGAGCACACCAAGGCCCAGGAAGGAGAGGCGTCCGAAGCTTGGCATGTTTTCGACTTTGGCTCTGTCTGCGAGCTACGGCTCTGGGAAGCGAAATGGCTGCAGCCGGATATTCGAAAGTCTGATCATGACTATGATGTGGGTGCGATCATTGTCATTGGCGTTCTGATGCTTTTCGTTTGCTCAGTACGAGGATACCTACACAGGAAATGACCGACCCTTGCTGACTACACTGGGCTATACAGACACGGAACCTGTCCCGTTGACTACATTGGTGCGGGGCTTGGGGCTTAGGGTTTCGGGACACGGAACCCTTGAAGCCTATTTCGACACATGAGCCGCCCAAGACTCCCCTGCCCAACATTACTTTTCGAAAATCCGTTCCTGCACTGAGGAGCCCGTATCTGTTCGGGTCTGCAATGAAGGAATCCCACAGCCTCGGGACTTGGAAAAGGGTAGGCTTCTTCAGCTTAGGGTCTTGTATGTGAAACAAAAACATGCAGGAAAGATAAGAAGTATGACATCGCTACGACAGTCCTGATACATCATCGGGCAGCTAAACACCTGTGTGCCACTACTGCAGCAACAACAGCAGCAACGGCTACTCCACTCCTACTCCTACTCCTACTCCTACTCCTACTCCTACTACTCCTGTACGCGTACTCCTACAGTACTGCTAGTGCCACTGCTACGGCTACTGCTGCTGTGACGAGAAGACGACAACTACCACTGCAACTGCTACTACAACGGCGACTCCGAAAACACTAACAGTTGCACTATTGCTCGTCATAGTCTCGGGAATGGCAATGGCCACCGTCGTTTTCATTGTCTGGTAAAGAAATGATGCCAGCAAAGCATGCTCCACTGATGCGAAGGGGCCGGAGGACATCGGGCAGCGTCGCATCCTGCCCCCAGAACTAAACCACAAAACCTCTATGACCTAAATTTCTAGAGCCTTCAGCAGAATGGCAACAACCTTAACTTCTTAACACCCCACACAGGCACAACTTGGCCGTAAAGACTTCGGAAGGTTTGTCTGTCAGGTCACTGCATACATATTTGCAGATCGGATCATGGTCCAGTTCCTGTTTCCATTGTTCTCAAGGACTCTGTGATTTCTTCAATCTTTTGGTTTCAGGTTGCAGGTCCAGGATTCAGTTCGGTAGGGTTCGGGGTTCTGGGCTTTAGGTTTCGCATGCAAGGGTTTGGATTCAAGGTTGAGTTCAGGTTGACTTGGGGTTCTGGGTTGGTGGCTTTTGGCTTGCGATGATCTGACGGTCTCATAAGGTCTAGAGGTTGTTGACAGCAACAGTCTTGTCCAAACCCTATGCAAACTCTATCACAGAACTGAAGTGGTTGTGGTTAAAACTTGGGGTCCTGTCTGAGCTGGCTTGCTAACCTACGTGAACGCTCTAACGGGCCACTCTAAGTCTGAAGCCGCGAGCGGTGAAACCCTTCACTGTTCAGCTGGAACCGTCCAACCCTCCGCCTCAATCCAATCATCAACCTGTGGGCTCCGCAACTCTCTGAAGGGAAGCCTAATTGAACATCGCCCCCCCATTCTCTCTGACGGTTGGCACCTGAGCGAAAAGGACCTTGGGCAGAGCAGTCACTCTTCGTGGCAACTTTCCAGGATACATGCGTGTCAAATCTAAAACAGAACATCAAGCAACATGAGACTATACTGTAGTCGGTGGGAAGCACTCTTGAGGGTCAGTGTGCGCACTAAGCCTCCACTCACCTGAATCTGAAACAGTTCACGCGCCTAAGCTCCCCTGTCGTTAATGCCGTAGACTATGCTTCGCCGTCTGGTTCGAGATAAGTGTCGGTGCACCAGCGCAGGACGAAGACAAAAAGTGAGAGCTCCGCGCGCGCGAGATGCCTCCGGCCAAAACGATGGCACACAGCGATGATCGGCGGAAAGGCGAAACTCAGGCACGAGTAGATCTTCAATGGTCGCAGGAAGCATCCAGGCCTGTGGCTTTACAAATGTCTTTGTGCCATTCACAAACTATGACCAAAGGGTTCGCTTCGGAAGGTTCTGCACTCGGGCTACGGCAACTCGCGGAAAGTGACTGACAACAAGGTCGTGTGGTGGGAGACCCCACAAAGCCTAAGCTAAACCCGAGGTCCTTGTTCAGACCCTGGCCTGGCGAGCTGCGGGTCGTAGCCTCAGCACGGATCTAGCGAAACCTGTCACGAGCCATCTTGCCTTTTTAACAGTTCTGTTCTGAGAAACCCGGAAGCTGTCGGGACGACGGATGCTCCGTCGCCACATCCGGAACCGAAACACATCTGCGCTCGGCCCTTGCGTTTGGAGCCTTGAGGCGGCTTCAAGGGCCTTAAGCCCGGACTGCAGATTTTCCCAAGAACCTCCCAGATTCATAACTGTTGAAATCCTGGGGCTCTGGCTCCGCAGCATCTGCGAGATCTCCTCGACCATGCCGTAGACGCCTGCAGGCGCTTGGGTGTGTAAAGTGGACCTTGTGCTGAGATCTACAGAGAGGTCGAGCAATTCTTGGTCCGTGTATGTCCATGGAAGATAAGCGAGGGGCACAGCCAGTTGCTTCTTTTGCACGACGCCTCGATGGCTCTGCTGAAGCATCCGTGCACCGTGATCCCTAAAATTTCTGCTCTTCCCGTTCTCAACTCTCACTGTTACACTTTCAATCCGATCGAAGCCCCTCCGTGGAATGTCGAGCCTTGCATCCAAAAGCTAAGCAGCTAAACAAACTTAGGTCCTTCAAAGCAAAGGCCAAAAACCACCAGACTTCACGGGTTTTGAGACTATAAGAGGGACGCCCCCCACGCATTTAGGCCAGGCACCTTCCCCACTGTGGTCCAGAGCTTGCATGAAGCCATCTTTGATCTCCTTTGGATTTGGCCGGGCCAGTTTCCCTTTTGGCTCTTCCTAGTTCTAGGAGCTTGGGTCTATTTGCTTCAGATCTATGTTAGGGAACTCGAGACAGCTGTTGGCATGTGCGTCTCTGAAATAGCTGCCGCTGCCATTGAAGGGATTCAACTGCAAAACTGGTGCTCGGAACTTGCTGATGTCCCCGACGCCCCGCCCTCCCAACGACTTTGAAGTTCCTAAAGCCCGAGCTAGCAGCCTGAATTTTAAAAAGCAAAACACCAAAGCACCAAAGCCGAAGCCCCACATCCCAAACCCCGATAGGTGCAAAAGCAACAAGAGCCGTAAACCCGCGTGGACCTCAGCCTCCTGGAAGAAAGACACCAAGCTGTAAGGCTCAACAAGTTTCAGCCATCATCTCGCTGAAACACCAGAACGCGTCGGTCTCTGCATCGGTTTCTGCAGACATTACATAAAGCAGAACGGCGGCGATCTCGTTCATGCCTTGGTTCAGTTCATTTCGATCTTGATTTCGGTGTTCGAGTGCGGGCTAAACGTGACGTGGGAGGCAGAAGGGTCCTATGGATCCAGGTGCTTCGGATAGTTCCCTCAATCCTTATAAAGTGAAGGCGACTTCGAGGCTGTAAAGGGCCTTGCCGAGTCATGGCAGGATTTTTAAGGCTTCTCGGATCTTCTCGGTGTAGAGCTTCAGAACTTGGGTCTGGGGAATTCTTTGCTTCAGGGCGGTGTTTTCTGGGTTAGGCAGCACCATGCCCGAAGGCTCTTAGCAGTAGATGAATTCTTGCCAGCGGCCTTGCACGTACCGAACGCCCGGATTCAGCTTGGCATAAACGAAGAGCAGTGCAGTCAGTGCTGCTTTGGTGGCAGGGCGCCGGAAATACTCGAAATCACGACGTGTCCTCTCGACGTCCTTAGGGTTGACAATCGTCGCAAATCCGTGAACTCAAGCACCCCGAGGCTCCGCATCTCGACCCAACAAAGAGCTACTGCGGCTTTTGAGGTGCATCCGAACGAAGCCGAGCCTGGAAAGCTTTTATTTTGAAGGGTATGGAATGATTTGAATGTGGGGACGGTTGAGGGGCTAGGGAAGTGCACCTGGAGCCAAGTTCAAGATCCAAGGGACGTTTTTGATCTCCTGCAGCAGGTCCTGATCGTCTATCTCACTGCCTGGCAAGACGAGCTTCCAACTGGGTCAGGATGTGCTAAAGTGAGTCCAGGTCTCGAGCACGTTCTATAAACCAAACCTCAGAGCCTGAAGCTCCATTGCAATAGACTACGAGTGAACTAAACTGGGCAACCATGACTCAGGCCCTGATTCTCCGGAGATCCCCAAAACCCAGAGAGCTCGAAGCATCCCTACGGTGTAGGCTTGGGAGATATTCGGGTTTCAGGATTCACAGGGATTGGGACCCCAAGTCCGCGCGAGAGGCCTGGGCTCTTGGAGGCGACGTTGAGAGAAACCTCCTGGCTCGAGCTCACAGTGAGGAGCTCACTCCGGTAGCTGGCGTACAGCGCGCGCTTCTCGCCTGGTCTCCGGGATTAGTATTTCGCCTAGGGTTTTGGGCTCTGGGGATTCGTTTAGGGTTGAAACTCGAACACACCGGCTACCAGATCTTTCCAGGGTTTGGGTGTTCGGGGTGGGCGGTCGCTGCTCTTGTTGTCTTCGAGTTTTCGGAGCAGACTTGATCTGCTGTAGTTCCGGGCTTCAGTACTGTGTTGCACATTGTAGCCTTCAAGACGTTCTGAAACCCATAAGCCACAAAGCCATAGCCGTCTCTCCGGCTACACCAGAAAGAAGATTTTAACTGACGAAGACTTTGGGCTCAGGGATACTATTAAGTGTTTGAGGGGCACTGACGGCTTGCGGGCCCTTGACACAAGCTTGCAGTCTGTGCTGTTTCATCTGCTAAAGTTGTGCACCGCCGCCTGCTCACATACTTCGCTCCGGGCATCAGAGTCTAAATTCATGCCAATAGCCTCAACCCTCGACCTGATACCCGGCCCAAGTGCACGGAGAGTTGCCGTAAATTGCGTTCCACTCATCGTGACGCTTCATCGGCAGGTAGCCCAGCAAGGCCTTTGCATGAGTGTATCATGTGTATGCATATATATATACATACATACACATGTGTATACATACATATATATATATGCATGCATAGAGAACACATAAAGAAAGGTGGACATGAATACGAGCTTAATTGTAGTAAACATAAATATATCGATGTTTATAGCGGTAAAGAGAGAGAGGGAGAGAGACAGAGGGAGTATTCCGTCTTCTTACAGACTCATGGAAACACCCATAGCACCAATCAGTCTTCCTACCGTCAGAGAAGTTTCAAGCAGCAGACTGTCAAAGCGGGTTTGGGCCATAGAATGCAGCCAAATTCCTGAGCCTTGTCTAGCCAGCCGATGAACATGGTAACCTGGAGGCCTTAATACTTGGAATATTTACGGCGTATATCACAATACAATTATCTGGGCAGTTTTCAAAGGAATTTACATAATTACTGCATGCACCTGTGAACCGCTCGATTGTAGAAGTGCTTCGACTGAAAGCGGACACCTTGAACTGAACATGTCCGCACATACCCTCTCCTTAACCATGAAGTTGCAAAGATGTCATCTGTAGATTACCACCCTTGTCGTCTGATGCAACTTAGGATTCCAATTTCGTGTGGCGTCGGTGCATGTAGGAGCCTTGCCAGGATGCCGATCTTGTCAGAACCTGAGAGCCTTCGAGGGCCCCTTAGCGGCCTTACTACCATGAGGGAGTGAAGGAATGCTTCGCCCAAACTGGCATCGACAAACGCAGCTTCTCATGCACATCCACCACGCGACCCAGCGTCCTACTTTCTAGTCCTGCAACCGGTGAAGAACCGTCCTCCACCCGAGACACCTGCATCCAGAAATGCCGATCCTCTAGCTGTCAAGGTCCTAGTCCACGACACATCCTAGATGCAAGGTTTTGAAACTTAGACAAACATGCTGAACCCGCCGAAGAAAATCCAGCACTTGAAAGATGCTATCAAGCCCGTCTAACCCGGTTCAGTCCGGACCCGACGATCTAAGTAGAACCGTAAGCCATGAAGGTTCCTAAGCCGAAGGAGCCCGGGCCTTCCAAACCTTCGCTCGAAGGCTCTGGTCATCTGGCAGCCCGCGGTAGGCAAGCCTTGGAGACACGGACTTAGGATTTAAGCGGCTCTCCAGGGTGTTGTGCGCTTGTCTAGGATCTTATACAGGCTTCTAGCTTATTACGATGTGTTGTTACACTGCTCTCTCGCTGTTCTCTTCAATGTGCGGGGGCTCTAGATTGAGATATTAAGGTTTTGGCTTGAGACTGAAATCCAACCCCCTATGGGCTTTCACGGCAGCTGCGTCAGGTCAGGCTCCTTCCCCAAAGCCTCGAGGACACCCCCAGAAAAGAAAGTCCAATCGGCTAGCCCCAGGCTTGTCATGTCGCAATTTTTTGCAATCTCGAGCTGTAACGACTACAAGGTTTAGGCTTGAGGATCTCCGGCAGAAGCGTTCGGGATAAGGAGTGAGATTGGAATGTAAGCTTCAAATTTGTACAGCCCAAGCTGAAGCCTAAACTTTCTACCACCCACCTATGACGTGGTTTCGGCTAGACCACAGGCCAAGACACAGTCGGAGGAGGCCATCATTGCCGTCCTGTCGGTGGGTGCATGGTTTTAAGGAGTTTTTGAAGGGGCAGGCCAGGCATTTCGGGGCACGGACTCAGCTACCACTTTGAAGTAGCTATAATTTGCGTCTGACCTGCAGCTCACAAGAGCATTTGCAAAGCTTGTTTGGGAATTCTAGGGTTTTGGGGGCTAGGTGCTCTGGTCCTTAGCTCCACGTGTCATGGCGCGTTCAAGCAGCACCGTCCGGGAGGGAGCCAGGCCCTCCGCTAACACCAGCTTGCGAACCTTTCGGCGCTGTGACCCACAGGGCGGGTTGAGGCTCGAGGGTTCAGGGGGAATGTTTAGACCGGAAGGTTGAAATGCATGGACATGCCAGCTATGCTGGAGTTCTAGAAGCAAAGCCCAACCCTTAAGCACCTGCCAAAACGAAACATTACCATGCACACCACCGCCACAACAGCACTCGACATCCAATACATAACCCGTAAAAAACCCAAGCAAGATCCCAAGAATACATGTAAGCCTATGCCCGAGGTCCTTCTCCAACATTTCACCAAGACACAAAATATTTGATTTACAGCAAATGCTGTCAAAGCAATCCCGAGATCCTTGGAAACAACAACACAAACACAAAACAACACTAAGAACACCAACGTAGCCAACAGCTATGCCTAGGACGAAGAAAATAAACCATAGCTACACTCTTACCCTTACTCGTACTCTTACTCTTACGATTGCGGTGAGGATTACTAGTACTCACACTGTTGTTCCTATTTCTGTTAGTAGTAGTAGTAGTAGTAGCAGCAGCAGCAGCAGCAGCAGCAGCAACAGCACGACATCGTTTTGCCCCGCTTGCCGTCCATGGTGCAAGCACGCTGTACTACTGCTATTACTAGCACTACTCACGACTACTACTACTACTACTACTACTATTACTACTACTACTACTACTACTACAACTACTACTACTACTACTACAACTACTACTACTACTACTACTGCTACTATTACTACTGCTACGACGACGACGACCACTGCCATTATACCACTACCAATACCACTACCACTGCCGCCACCACCGCCACCATAACCACCACCACCACCACCAGTACTACTACCAGTACCACTTTTCTACTACTACCTACTACTGCAGGTGGGGATCCTTTTTGGGTGGTTTTTGTATTTTTTTGGTTTTCGCCTGAATGGCTTCACGCGCCGAGTCAGTCAGCCAGTCAGTCGGAATGCGAGCATGCCGGTCTGCCAGTCTGTCGGGCGGTCGGTCGATTGGTCCATGTGCCAAGCACCGGGCAGTCAGTCAGTCGGTCAGCCAGTGTCTGACATGTGATGAACCGATATCGTCAAATGAGGGGGCGTGTTTAAGATGTAGGATGAACCGGAATCGCCAAATGACGGGGCGTGTTTAACATATGTTGAACCGTCATCGCTAAACGAGGGGGGCATGTTTAAGATATGTGATGAAGCGTTATCGCTAACTGAGGCGCCGTGTTCAAGATATATGATGAACCGGACTCACCAAATAAGGGGGCGGCCTGTTTAAGATATGTTGAACCGGACTCGCCAAATGAGGGGTATGTTGGCATGTTCAAGATACATGATGAAGCGGACTCACCAAATGAGGGGTCGGCGTGTTTGAGATATATGGCGAACCGGAACCGCCACATGAGGGGGCGTGTTCAAGATACATGGTGAGCCGGAATCACCAAATGAGGGTTGTGTTTAACATATATGATGAACCGGAATTGCCAAATCACCAAATGAGGGGGCGTGTTTAACATGTATGAGGAGCCGAAATCGTCAAAAGAAGGGGGGCATGATTAACATATATGGCGAACCGGAATTGCCAAGTGAGGGGGTGTGTATAGGGTAAAAGAATGAACCGGTGTCGTTAAATGAGGGGGGCATGTTTAAGATTTATGATGAACCCTTATCGCCAAATGACGGGGCGTGTTTAACATGTATGATGAGCCGATGTTGGCAAATGAGGGGGGCGTGTTTAAGACAGGATGAACCGGAATCGCCAAATGACGGGGCGTGTTTAGCAGCTAGCATATTATATGAAGAGCCGTTATCGCCAAATGAGGGCGCATGTTTAAGATATGTGGTGAATTGTTATCGCCAAATGAGGGGTCGTGTTTAAGATACATGCTGAACCGGACTCACCTCATAAGGGGGCGGTCCATTTAAGATATGTGGTGAACCGGACTCGCCAGTCTAAGATGTAATTATGGTGAGCCGGAATCGCCAAATGAGGGGGGCGTGTTGAACATGTACGAGGAGCCGGAATCGCCAAGTGAGGGGAACCCGCGTAGCCGATATCGCCAACTAAGGGGGCGTTTTGATATATAAGATGAGCCGGAATCGCCAAATGAGGGGGCGTGTTTTAACATATGTGATGAACCGTTATCGCCAAACGAGGGGGCGTGTTCAAGATATGTAATGAAGCGTTATCGCTAACTGAGGCGCCGTGTTCAAGATATATGATGAACCGGAATCGCCAAATAAGGGGGCGGCCTGTTTAAGATATGTGGTGAACCTGACGTGCCACATGAGGGCGTGTGTCGAGGGGAGTCTAGGACATATGGTGAGCCGGAACCGCCAAATCAGGGTAGCATGTATGATGAAGCGCAATGGCCAAATGAGGGGTGTGTTTAAGATTTGTGAGATACCGGAATTTCGGAATCGCCAAATGAGGTGGCGTGTATCAGATGTATGAGGAACCGGAATCGCCTAAATAAGGGGCGTGCTCAAGATGTCTGATGAACCCTTATCGCCAAACGAAGTGGCGTGTTTAACATGTATGATGAGTCGATGTCGCCAATTGAGGGGGCGTGTTTAAGATTTAGGATGAACCGGAATCGCCAAATGACGGGGCGTGTTTAACATAGCATGTGAAGAGCCGTTATCGCCAAAAGAGGGCGCCTCTTTACGATATATGATGAACCCTTATCGCCAAATGAGGTGGCGTGTTTGACATGTATGATGAGTCGATGTCGCCAAATGAGGGGGCGTGTTTACGATTTAGGATGAACCGGAATCGCCAAAGGACGGGGCGTGTTTAACATAGTACGTGCAGCGCCGTTATCGCCAAATGAGGGCTCATGTTTAAGATATATGATGAACCCTTATCGCCAAATGAGGCGGCGTGTTTAACATGTATGGTGAGTCGATGTCGCCAAATGAGGGGG